CTTGTAATGAAACAGTACATTGTGTAAGGAGTTGGGGCTAGTGTTATGGCGCGAAGGGCGCGAAAGCACGAGCGAAGCGAATGTGTATTCACGCCCGTCCCGCGCTGTAAACAACTATCCCCCACTCGTTACATAATGTACTATTGTTTGCACTTTGAAAGCTGCGCTATACAAAGCTGTTAAAAAGAAACATATTTTGTAATATTTTTTATTATTAAAAGACTTGTTATTTTCTCTTTTATTATTTTATTGTAATTTGATTTAGTACCTATATGGATTGAAAATCGAAAAAACATAGCTCCAACTTTTAGTACGATAATGATGAAGGAATTTTTTAACGTATTCGTTCAAGAATCTTTAGTACTTATCGAAGATTTGGAAGAAATTGCACTAAATGGAAATGAAATTATATGTTTTGATTATCTATACAGATGTACTATACAAATTACATGCGGTAAGACAATACAATAATTTCTTGAAATTATGAACATACATAGTAAAAATAATTACAAAGAATTATCGAAATTACAAAAATTTTGAGGATTAAAAATTGTTATGTAACAAAATAAAAAGTTGATTTTAATTATTAATTATTTAACTATTATTCATAAAAAAGAGTGTTATAAAAATGGATCACTGTTTGCAATATTGCGTAAATTATATTCGAAATTATTTATAAGATCTTTTAAATAATATAACAATTATTTGTCTAAATCCACGTAAAATTATGAAAATCATTATTTATTATTGATTACGGAAATAATCATATAAAGTAATTTATAAGATTTATATATATATATATATGTATATATATGTGTGTATGTATATATATTGCTTTATTAACGTTTAAACAGAAAATACTGCAAAAGTACAATTTCAGACTGATTTTTAAAAAGTAACGAAAAGTTACCTTTCGAGTAAAGGTAACTGTAACGAGTTACTGTTAAAAAGCAATAACTAGTAACGGTAACTGGTTACTTTCGTTATTCAGTAACGAGTAACTGTAACTTATTACTTTTAAAAAGTAACTTTCCATTCCCACCCCCGATTTAAAATTATCATATGTATTAACCTTTATATAACCTCCCCCCTCTCTTTCTTTCACTCTGATATTGATTCTACACAAACTTTAGATAAATATTGCAAAGAATGTTACTACATCGACTCGCCATCACAGATCTATCGATATTCGCAAATTCTCGTAAGTGAGACACACGTATATCTCTTTATATAGAATCTCGATTTAATAACTTACCAAGGCGTATAAGGTAGACCTCCACTACAATGCCTTACTGATGAAGCCAGTAGTGGAAGCCGGAACGAAACGCCAAAAATTACGTGATGTTCTTCGCAATATATTAGAATAAATTATCAGAGTAATTTATATTTTTAATTGTAATTTGACTCTTACTTCGACCTGTTTAACGTATTGATTATTGCTACATAATTAACCTATTAATAATACGATAACTCCCAGTAAAATTATTTATAAAAAAGCCAATAGTATACGAAATATTTTATACTTAATCTTAGGATATTTTAACAGGAAACAAATAAAATGTAACAATTATAAAGGCTAAATGAACATCATAGTCAGATTAATAGAAGTAGCTACCGAGCAAAACTCAGTGATCACGGAACACAGATTAGAATATAATCATGATTTTAATTGGGAAGAAATAGAAATGTTGGATAAAGAAAAAGTTTTCAATAGACGATTGGTCTCAAAAGTCATTTTTATCAAAAAAACAGAGTAACGATTTAAATATACAAAGCGACACCGATTTGTTAAATCCCTTATATCATGACATCAATTATATATAACATAAATGCCTCTTACACACTTTACACTGTTATATTTTTATCTTATTTTGTTTTCATTTTTATTTTGACTTTATTTATTATTCTCGATTATTTTTGTCCTCTAACTTACATATGAATTCTCTGGATAGATTGTTCTTGTTTCTAACTGCTAAGGATCGTCAAATTATTCTTAAGTAAGTCTTTAATTTAGTATATTTTGATAAGTTTAAAGAATTAGTTTTGAGCTATTGCATATATTTCAATTTTTTTATAATGACTTCCTTCATAGTTTAAGTATCCAACTAGATACGACAGACGGAAAGAACAATTTTAATTAACAATGACTTCATTTTTTGACAAATTATTTTATTCTAACATGACTTTCATTAATTCATACAATTTCTGTTTTCGCAATTTACACTTAAAGAGAACATAATTTAATGTCGAAATGCCTGTATTTTTATTTCGATTAAACAATATAATATTTATACATAAAAAACAACTTATGACCACTCACATAGGCTAATAATTTTTCCTTTATACGTTTTTAATAAGAAATATAAAGTATCACATAAAATATTTATTTTTTAATTACTAAATCTAAATGCTTTAATCCACAGAAGTTATATAATATAAGTTATATAATATAAAGAAGGATCTACATTGTTCTGCGATATGCTATTACATATTTAAAAAAAACTACTAATTTTTTTATTGAGAGAGAGAGAGAGAGAGAGATTTATTTCATTATTCTATACACAAAAATATTAAAATACATTTACTAGAAAACCAAAATAATGATTTAGAAAATACTTTATATTTAATTTTAAAATATATACGTTAAAATAAAATATAAAATACTTCCAAAATGAAGGTAACATCTTATCACATAATGGTAATTAATAATAAAATCTTGATTTTTATAATTTTTCAAATTTGTGTTGACAAGAAAGTTATTACCTTTAATTTCTTAAAAACTCAACATAGTTAACATATTGATTGAAAAGTTGTTTTTACATATTGCTGTGTGTAAAGGTACCATGATGGGTATCAAGGTGGAAAGGAATATAATAGATTTATGGACGAAAACAACTAAAAGGTATGTAATTTTAATTCGTTTCAATTTGTATATGGAGAGATACATTTCGTAATCCTTTCAGTTCAAATTTCAAAATGCTACTCACATCAGTCAATTAATGCTAACAATAACAAAACATTAACATTATGATTTCATTATCAACAATATAAATGTTATATTAGGGCTGAACATATTCCATTTGTAATTTAATAAGAACTAGAATTGTATATTTTAACTATACACATAAAAGTATTTTGAGTTTTGTACTTCAAACATTGAGATTGTGAACATTTATCATTTCATATATTTTAATAGATTTAGTCCAGCCCTGAATAAAATATACGTTGTAAGTTACATTGTTGAGTGTAAAGCTATTAATACTGATGTTATGTTATTTCGTAATATAGGTTAGCAAGTAACGCGTTTACATTGAGCATGTAGGTTGTTAATTGACTTGTGGCGTTGTTAGCCGTTACAATTTTCTTCTTTTAAACAATGTTACATTTCTTTATGAATATAACGTTAACGCAATAACGCAGTTACATTGACTATGGTGAGAGAGAAACAGATATAGTGGAAATTAGAAAGAGGCGAAAGATCAATAATAATGAAATAGGATTTTGGAAGTAATTCTATATTGCTAGGCATATTAAAATGTTTAACAATTCTTAAATACATTCTTAAAACGTATATCAATTCTTTTTTCGATTACATGACAATCTCATCATCTCATGAGATTGCTTTTTCGCATATTTCAAACATTTTTCTTATAATAGAAGATTCATAATCCGAAATTTTACATGAAGTTATATTATATTTTGAAGTTACTCTGTACATTTCCTAAGTAGATGTATTGTTATGTAATCAAAAAAAGAATAGTTTGAATAATATTTATAAAAGTTAATAATCACGATACGCTATAGTATATTAAATATCGCATATACTATTAATGTTATATATAATAGTGTAATATGTCATTATTATATTATATTATATTACATTATATAATAATTATGGCAATATATTATAAATTTATTTTAATAACATTTTTCAGTATAAGAGATATTTGGCGATATAGATTTCGAAACATATACATAATTCCTGATATTATATTTAATCTCACATCTTTGGGAAAGAAACAGCGAGAATGTATAAATATCAGTCATTCAATCGTAGAAAAGGTATAAATATTTAATAATATTCATATAATTACACTTTCTTTATGTTTAAATCTTTATTATTGCATAGATGATACAGCAAAGAACAAATGAATTAAGTACAATGTCCACTAATGGTGATATATCTCGTAAGTTTGTCAATATTTTATAATTCTTTTGCTCTTTATTTCTAGAATGATATATAATACTTTTTTAAAATTACTTTAAGAATATAACGTTTTGAAAATTATAATTAAAAAAGACTAATATGCTGTTCTAGCGACAATTCTTCGATAAATTTGATCTTCGCATATGTCGTCAATGATACTGAGTGATCTCCAACAAAATTTTACACGTCGCTCGTTATTTGTTAAAAAGTTATTAAAAAAATATTTGAAAAATGATATTTCTCTTTTACCAAATATATAACATAGCGAAATTTTCCGATTCAAAATATATTTTTAGACTTTCTACACAAAACAAGTTTCACTCTACTTTTCCTTCTGCTAAGCTAGAGATATATAACTTTTTACTCCAGAAGATTTGCTTCGCATTCGTTGGAAAGATCAAGGTCATTGGAAAATTCTTCCCTCATCGGGGTATTTATCCTTCTAACAAGCAGTAAATTCAATCAAACATAACAAATAAAGATGCAACGTTAGTAAAGCGCAAATATATAATAGTAAAAATTTTTTCTTCTTTTAATGAATGATAATGGCGCCAATCATTGGTTTAGATTTGAATAAATTTCAAGTCGTTCTCAGCTAATTATTAGAAGAAACGTGAAAATCCATCTTTCCCTTCATCAGAATTAAGACATTAAACAGCTCGGTATAAGCATATTAGAATTTCACGAGCTACTAAAATAAGCAATTAGGGCAATATTCGAGGAACTCGTTATATCAGTTCTATTTGTGTCATCTATTCTTATTCTACGTCTAATAAACGATGAAGGTAAAATGACGGAAATTTATTATAAGGAGATTTATTATAAGCATTAATAGTGTCTCTTCGAATGCACTCTAGAGCTGTTATTCCAACGGCAGAAATTTCGTAATGTAAATTTCAACAATATAAGTGTTAGACACTCAAACGACTATCTTTATTAACAGTTCATCGGTATTTAGTACTACTGAATATCAATTCATTGTAGAATTAGAGTTATCTTCGCTTTTTATTAACTGTGCTGTATTCCCATTTACATTTGAACAAATTTATAAATTTATATTAATATTTAAATTAATATTAACATTTAATTTATATTAACATATAACATTTAAAAAAAAGATCACTATAAGATTTATAATTCTAAGATTAAACATTTAAAGTAAAATATACATAAAGTTGATTATTTATACATATATACATAAGTAATGAACTAATACACATATTGTTTTCTGTACATAACATAGATAAACGGTTCGTGGACATTTTCATGCGTTTATTTAGTGATGAAAAATTCACGCAAAAGGAAATTATAGACAATGTAGTTACAATGATAGGAGCGGTATGTTATGCTATCTTTTAGTATATTAACCATTTACAAATGGATAATAAATTGTATTTTCAATTACATAGGCTGCGGACACTACCGCTGCTACGTTAAATTTTGTGATCTTTATGTTGGCAAATTTCTCGGAAATACAAGTATGTATATATTAATAATAATTATGCAAAAGTTTTTTATAATAACCATCATTTATTTCAATTTACTTACGTCAATATCTAAAAACAGTAATATTTGTAAAATTATTATATATATTATATTATAGTAATATTTGTATAAATGAACTTTTTAAAAATGATTATATTTTATAAATATTTTATTAACGCGTGAATGAATACTGATAATTTTGTCTTAAAATTTTTATATAAAATATTTTTTGATGTCTCAATTAATTTTCGAAGTATAACGAAAAACCAGCGATATACATATATAAGGGATGATTTCTTTCCGTTTTTTCGCTGCAAATAATATTTTCTAAATTCATTTTTTTATATAAACTATATATTTATATATCTCGTATGTAAAGTTTCAAATAAAACGAATATACAGGACTCTTAGTATTAAAAATTGTCAATGAAATAAAAAGGCAATTAAGAGTCAATATTATATGTGTGAACTAATAAAACATTTAATATATTATAAATTAAAATAAAATAACAATAAACTAAAATTCACACTATAAATGCGCACGCAAACAGAAGTCAAACCATAACGTTTCGGCTGCATATTCGAGCCATCCTCAGATGTACATACATATAAATATTAATTAACGCAGTAAAACATCTTTAGTTAACGCAGAAAGAATAAGAAAAAAAACTATGATGGATTGTTATGTTCTAAAACGTTGTGGAAATACCTTTCATTCGTTCCTTTTAAACTTCTTTTAGTTTTTATATTTTGGCACATATAACGTTTAATAACATATCAGGTCCCTGAATTTTTACATAGAACTAAACGAAATTGCATGTCAGTATATACATATATGTACATACATCCCGTTTCTACAATGTTTGTCATGTCCTGTGTAAGAGCCATTATGTTTCATCATAATCCCTTTTCGGGATTTGCTTTCGAAAAATATTTTATTACTGTTTTACAACACGTGTAAATTTCTTGTAATGCTGCATCTTATATTGTTTTTTATATTGTAACAGCAATAGCTAATACCTATATGCAACTTTTGTTTATATTTAATGAAGAGAACTCGACTCCAACATTTGTTACCTTATTTTAATTACATCCTGTATATATAATCAAAGAACACTATGCCAACATTTCTCGAGATGTTCTTCGAGTTTTAAAATACTAATTTGAAAATTGTTTAAAATAAAATTACTCATATCTAAAAATATTTATAAGAATAACGTTGCATAGATTATTTTCAAAATGAATCGCATAATATTTTAATAGTTGCTTATGATACAATATACATATATGTATACATTTTTTGGCTATATGATCTAATAGACCGCGAGAAATTCGAAAGCAGATCGCCGGTCGAACGTATATGTATAAACACATTATTTAACTTTATATTATACTAGGAAAAAGCATATAAAGAATTATTGGAAATTTATGGCACGGAAACTCCAAAGAATGCACCAGTTAAATACGAGGACTTACAACATATGAATTACTTGGATTGTGTTATTAAAGAAACTTTAAGACTTTTCCCTTCTATCCCTATGATTGGACGAATATTGACGGAAGACTTAAAAATAGGTTTGTTTATTTTTAAGAATAAAGTATTGTTAAAAATGCGCACCCATATTATTAACTTCTTTTTGAAAGTTTTCGTAAAGAATGTATAAATTATTAAGGGGATTCTGGGCGTAGGCGATGAGAATTACTAATTACAGTGAAATAAAAATCTTCGGCTGTATAGTTTGCAAAATTCTTTTTACATAATTAAAATATGCACAAATATGAAGTTTGAAATGATCAATTTACTTTTAGTTCATTAGCTACCACTTGACGTAAATATTTACTTTTGGTGTCGTTAGGGTGTTCTTTAACACTATACACTAAAATAGCCTTATTTTGCATTTTTAATTGCAAATTTATTCTATATTTTTTCGCTTCCAATGTCACAATTTAAAACGTACAATAGTGATGAATGAAAAGAAACCTTGAAAATGATTAAATATATCAACCGATTATATAAAATAAAATATGTTTCAGGAGAATTTGTTATACCAAAAGGTACAGATGTTATTATATCAATTATACGAATGCACCGGAATGAAAAATATTGGCCGAATCCATTGATGTTTGATCCGGATAGATTTCTATCAGAAAAAACAAATTGTTTACCATATTATTTCATGCCTTTTAGTGATGGATCAAGAAATTGCATAGGTAAGTATGAATAAATTATAAATTATCGTAGTAATATTGATTTACATGTAATTGACAAATTTACAGGTGCAAAATACGCAATGATGTCCATGAAAGTTATTTTAGCAACGTTGATAAGAATGTTTGTATTTAAATTGAATCATAGCATTGAGATAGACAAAATCAAATTAAATTCGGATATAGTATTGTCTACAGTTGAACCTTTAAAGATTAAAATTGAAAAACGTAATCTCTTTTACTCTAAATAATATATAAATAGATAATACTGTAGTAGTATGGGGGAAAACATTATTCACAGTACTCGTTTATTTCATATACAGCTTAATAAAGACAGAATTTTGTTACAAGATATATGTATATAAAATAATACATAAACGAATAATGATTAATGATTTTAAGTATAGTTCAATAATCATAGAGGAAAGTCTCGTATATACCACTTTATTTTTGTATAATATTTTATTAATATTTGTATAATACGCTGGCCAACAAAATTAACGCAATGCCTGTTCCACTCTACAAAAATAGGCAAATTTCAAGATAGAACAACTTCGTTAAAAATCATTGTATCATAATTTTTAAAAAAGCATTTCACAGCTTGAAACATCTACTTTTCAGATCGCTGCTTGAAAAAACAGTCTTAAGGAGATTTTATGAAGTTACACAAACATAAATGATGTTATATCAGATCAAAATTCTTTACGAAGTTTGCGGAGTTTCAAAGGACGGACTAAAAATTGTTCACAAACGCGATTCACATCATTGGAAAGAGTGAACGTTGAAACAAAAGGGTCATTTTTGCTTCAACGTTGAATAACTCGGTGAAAAAAAAAGTCGTACGGAGCTTCGTAAACAAGTAAATTAAAGGTAATAGAGATTCGCTCTTTTGAATGATGTAAATCACATTTGTGTACAATTTTTAGTCCGCCCCATGGAACTCCGCAAATTTCGTCAAAAATTTTGAGATCTGGTATACCATTTTTACGTTTGTGTAACTTCATAAATTCTCCGTGAGTCTGTTTTTTCAGGTAGCGATCTGAAAAGTAGAGGTTTCAAGCTATAAAATGTTTTTTTTAACACGGTCATTGATAAAGTTATTCTATCCTTAAATTAGCCTACTTTTACGGAATGAAACAGGTGTTGCGTTAATTTTATTAGCCAGTAAATTTATATCAATATTACATTACATTCATGCACGAATTTTGTAACAATATTCTATCTTTAATAAAATGCATATTTCTTAAACAAACAGTTGTCAAATGTTTATATTTGTTATCAAAAGAATTAATTATTGCAAAATTGTAAACAGTATTATAAAAATTGCTTATACTATGTGATAGAAAACTCTTTTAATATTTTTGTTCTTAAAGTTTAATTTTTTGTGAAAAGCGACTTTCCTCTATTAATGGGAAACATAAGTAACATATGCAATATATTTAAATTATACCAGTGCTTTAATTTGAATGATTTGAATTGTATCATATATTCTGAAACATGTTCTTTATTATTAAAGATAGAATACTGTTACGAAATTCATGCATAAATGTAGTACAATATTGATATAAACTAATATATTGTATATGTTAATTTATGTTTATTATTAATTGTCATAAATATAATTCAGATCCTCTTATGTTATTACTTCTCACTTATGATTATAATTTGATTTTCTAATCATTTCCAAGTTTATTATTTTACTCTCATTTTTCGATTTTGGTGTAATAAAAGTTAATTAAAGCAATATATTAATGTAATTAAGGTACTTTTTCACTTGTATAATTAATCCTATGTAATAGATTATTCATCGTTCTAGATGATTTCTAGTAAATTTATTATAAGGAAGAAGCGTAACTCAATATTATATAATATATTGTATATAGGCTGCGTTCCGTAATAATTACTGCCAGTACTGACAACATTGTAAAGCCTATTCCAAAATTTCTCACAGTAAGCTACATCGATAGCACTGTAATGATGACGTCACAGACTGGATCCACAACCTCGCTTTAAGAGGCCTTAAGCCGTAAGAAATTGACCAATCAAAGTTGAATGCGAGAAAAATAATCTACTGCGATTGGTCAATTTTTTACGGCTTTACGGTTTAAGGCCTCATAAAGCATGGTTGCGGACCCAGCCGTAGATTTTGTCGTTACTTGCTACTGCGGTTACTGTGGCAGGAAATGTACAGCAATCCAAGTATAAAATGACGAAGGAAAAGATAACTTTATTGGATACTAAAAATAATAGCAATATTAATTGATACTAAGCCTGAAAGGTGCTCAGGAAGCATCACATGGTATAAACGAAATTTTACACTTATCTATGTGTTATAAAATACAGCTTATATAAAATAAAAAATAAAAACAACAGTAACAGGAGAATATTAACCACTAATGATCAAGGTTTGATACTTGTTAATAATATTTTCAATATATCTTTAATTTTAACAGATTAGAATTTTAAATACATCTTTTACTTCTATTAATTGCTGCACGATGCTCGAGCGACATTTGATCTGCGTGCGGGGCGGTGAGATGAGAGGGACGGCAGAATTAGTCGGAGGCGATTCGAAAATCGACATACACTTTATGTATGTCACTTATGTTCACTTTGTACTGGCACATTTATTAATAATATATCAGTTACTTTTCATGGTAATATGTTATTATTAGATAAAAAGGTTTAAATTTTTAAGTATCTTTTTTTGAACATGGCTTGAACTTTTCATTTTTATGATATAATTTTTTCGGATATCACTTACTTTTTAGAGTACAAATATATTACAAATATATAAAAAAATTTAAAAATATATAATGATAGAGAGTGAAATACGGCGAAAGAGAGGGGTGGTGGGGATGGGTGTTGGGAAGGGGTAGAGCAGGAGTGAGTGATTGCGGTCGGTTGAAGATAGTGAAGGTGTGAGTTAAAGGTGAGAGGGATATTAGAAAGTTTTAATACGACCTTGAATGCGGACAGAGAAGAAAAAGGAGAAGAAGAAGGAGGAGGAGAAGGAGGAGACGTTTCTTAATTTATCATAAAAATCACCACTTTTCGACCGCTTCTATCTCCAGAATGGCTTGACCGATTTAAAATTTTTTTTGTTCAAACTCGTGGCGATGCCGCCTTTCAGGGCATATAACATTCGATATAAAAATTTTCTATATTTTAGTGGTTATGCACCCCCCAAAAATGGACTTTGATGTCTCGGGATAAGAGACTTATGTAGTGTCTTTCAGTTTTTATACATGGCCAGAGACACTACCGCGTCTCCTGATGACAGTGATTGATCATTAGTACAAAAACGATTAAAATAAAGAAAAAAATTCAAAAAATGAAAAGGAAATAAATTTAATGGAAAACATTTTTTAAAAGATTTTTATTAATACTTACAAATTTTCATTTGCTTTGTCTAATATAAGTCTGCTGTATAAGTCGTAAAAAACAGCCTATAAATTGAATATTTTATTCATATATGAATTTAGAAAAGGTCAGTTATTACTATGTTGTGAAATTGGCTATTAATTTGACTTGGATTTTAATATACAGGTAAATTTATAGCAAAAATGTGGTCAATCACTGTATCATGGTCAATTACTGTGTAGAAAAGATGAACTTTGAAATTAATATAAGTGAGTACGATGTGCTAACAAAACAATTTTTTACATCTACAGATAAATCTTATCCTTTCAATTAACATTTTCATTTCAATGCAAATAATTCTGAGCGTAATTTCATAAAAAAATTGAAATAAAAACCGTAAAATAAAACAACTTTTTTTATACAGGAAGATACATTGTGGCCACTTAAAATTATGATTTATAGTCATGTTTTTATTTCTGAATCATGAGAATGCATTGTTTATGAAGCCTGCTTGGATGGGAAAGATATAATAAATATCTTCGCGATTAGCGCAATTGCAGTACGATAATAAATTTATTAAGTAGTACTACTATTTCATTGTTACTTGGAACAATGTTGTTCATTATTATTGTATTAAGTTTAACATGTATCGTAATAAGTTGTTTTGTACAAAATTGTCGTTTGTTTTCTTCTGGAACTGTGAAATCGTTACCGGGACCACTAAAATTACCATTTATTGGTAGCACGTATCATTTTCTACATCGTAATTCTGAGGGTAATAGATTTGTTTAGTTTATATAAAATTTTTTATAATTAAGGCCTTCATGGAAAAAATGTATTACCGTTAACTATTTTATATTAAAACAAGTAAATATGATAATGAAATGGACCGATATTTTTTTATATTTGTTCAACTTTATAATGATTAAAAACAGAATTAAATTTAATATTTTATAAATATATATCAATTAATTTAATATCTTTACATCATTTTGATGAACTCGTAAGTACTATTTGTCAAAATAATGTAAGGTCCGGGAGAAGATGACACAATAAGGAAGATGCCACTTTATTCAAATTTTTATCATAGAATATATATTAGCCATTCTAATTGCATAGAATACGTAATAGACAATGGGTAAAAAAGTACAATTATCAAAAAGTTTATGCTAATTGACGTTAAAAAATATTTAACAAAATACGAATAGGTAGGTCATAAAATATACTCTTTCTAATAAGTGCTACGTTAATTGTTATAAAATTTGTGCTTCGATGCTTCTGTAAAATAAAACAAAAATGATAAATGGTTTTGATCAGTATTTCCTGGCAGTACAAACATATTTTAAACAGTATAGTTTTTCAAATAATCTCAGTATAATTTTAGCAAATAATCTCACAATTACATATGCATTAAAACTTTTCAGAGTTTTTAAATGTTTTCATTCAGCTTACTGAAACTTATTCATCTCCTCTTCAATTCTGGATAGGCTCTAAATTAAATATTTTAATATATGAACCAGACCAAGTAAAGGTAGAAAAGAAACATTTATTTTCTGCTGTATGTGTATATGAATATTTATTAATTTAAGTATCTTATTTATATTATATAAGGTGTCCTTCTATACATTTACAAAAGCAACTGCGATTCCAGCACATGAAAACAAATCATAAATGTTTAATTATCATATATCCGAACGGTTTCGGAGTTATGAGTACCATAAATATCATACCATATACTGAAGTAAGAAAATATATAGTAATATATATTGTTTAATGTTAGTTATTCTATTTTACAAAAGATGTTAGAATTTGTTTTCCTCCGACAATATTGGCATATTTATTAACACAAATTAAAGAAAAGTCACCTGTGACCCATGTTAGCGATTTTTCTCTAATAAATTGGTACAGACTTTTAGAAAAATATTTTAAAACCAATTATAATAATGAACTCTGAATATTCAAACATTAAGAATTTACAAAGGGTAAATGCAAATAATAATTTTTGCGCGGTTAAAGGTTTACTAACAAAAAAAATTTTTAATATTGAAGATTAAAAATTTTTTTTTTAACAAAGTTCCAAATGCCTCGACTGACTTCCAGTCATTTTCAGCGATTCAATACAAAATTTCATAAAATAAAGTAAATCAACGTGGATAAAAAGCATCGCAAGTTTACAACCGTTTTATTATTCTTGACGCACCCCTAGCCGACCGCAATCGTATGAAGTCACTCTTCGTAATACATATTGGAGGAGTGTAATCTTTGTCGTAATCCAAAATAACGACAATCTAAATTTTGAACACGAGTTTTTATACATATTGTATGTTGCTGTAATAAGAAGAGAATTGAGAGAGTAAAGAACTCACCCAATGAAATCGACCAAGGAAGCCTAAAAAAAGGTGACATAATAGTCAAGTATAAAATCTGATCTTAATAATACAGTTAATCATCAATTTTTGTTGCTTAATCCATAATTTCATCAATCTTAGTGGAAATTCACCAAAAAAAAGTAAAATAAATTTGAAAAAATTAAAACAAACGCAATGTAATAGTACCATTATTGTTTCAAGATAATTTAAAACCAATAATAATAATGGACTATTAATATTCAAACAATTGTGTTACTTTATCCACGTTGATTAATTTTATTTTATGAAATTTTGTATTGTACTGAATCGCTGAAGATAACTGGAAGTTAGTTGAAACGTCTGGAACTTTGATAAAAAAGAAAATTTTTGTTTTTTAAAATAAAAAATGTTGATAGCACATCTCTAACCGCGCAGTTATTATTTACTTTTATTTGCCCTTTGTAAATTCTTAATGTTAAAATATTTTAAGTTTTACAGATGATTAACATTAAATGGCCAGGTGCATTTAGAACGACAATCGCTCACTGAGTCAGTGAAAGGTAGTAGTACTGAATGCCTCTAATATCATTTATCATAATTGTTATAAAATCTGAATTTCAATTTGAAAATAAATAAATTAAAGGTCTAGTTCATCACAATAAGATTCAAGAATGGAAACATCAGAATAAAGGATATTAAACAGCATTTGTTTCAATTCATGTTTACTTAACCCATAACTCCAAAACCATTCGAAATTACACATATATTTATATGAGACATTTTCGACTTTTTATATGCTAAAGTTTTATTATTTTTATGTGCTAAAGCGACTATAACAATTTTATTTAGTACTGTATGGAAGGATCCCTTGTATAATACGCCACACAAATGCACACGCGCGCATATGTGATACGTTAATAAAAAATTTCACTGAAACAATTATTTACGATTTCGTGCGATCATGTAACTCTTCCAACCGTGGAATGCGAAATTTACGTAAACTTTTTTGCCACATACATCATATATATGATAATTACTTGGTTCTATAAGCAAATATACGCAAATATTAATAAATTATATGTGATTGTAGACTGTCTTACAAAATCGCCATTGTTTGAATAAAGGTTCGTTTTACGCAGCTCTAAAACCAATATTTGGCATGGGATTAGTAACAGCTCCTGGTAAGATATATATTTAGACAAATAGAATATTTATTTATATAAATATAAAATTCATTTGTAATAATAAACTTACATTAAAAAATGTTAACAATAAGACTAATATTTCATATCCATTCGTTTATCTACTTTGTAAATAGAAAATGCAACACGAACGATGCTATGGCTGCATTCATTTTTATTTTGTATTTCACTTATATATTCGTAATATTTTCTACAATAAGATTTTTCTCTTTCTTTATGTAAGATATCTTTTCATCACGTGTGCACGTAATGTATCCTATACCGCAACGCTTTAGCGTGCGAAAAACAGCCAATACCTCAAGCCGTTGAGTTATTTCTCTAACCCCACCCTTCTGCGCAAAAACGTTGCGGTATAGGCACATTACGACGAGCACTTGTAATGAAACAGTACATTGTGTAAGGAGTTGGGGCTAGTGTTATGGCGCGAAGGGCGCGAAAGCACGAGCGAAGCGAATGTGTATTCACGCCCGTCCCGCGCTGTAAACAACTATCCCCCACTCGTTACATAATGTACTATTGTTTGCACTTTGAAAGCTGCGCCATACAAAGCTGTTAAAAAGAAACATATTTTGTAATATTTTTTATTATTAAAAGACTTGTTATTTTCTCTTTTATTATTTTATTGTAATTTGATTTAGCACCTATATGGATTGAAAATCGAAAAAACATAGCTCCAACTTTTAGTACGATAATGATGAAGGAATTTTTTAACGTATTCGTTCAAGAATCTTTAGTACTTATCGAAGATTTGGAAGAAATTGCACTAAATGGAAATGAAATTATATGTTTTGATTATCTATACAGATGTACTATACAAATTACATGCGGTAAGACAATACAATAATTTCTTGAAATTATGAACATACATAGTAAAAATAATTACAAAGAATTATCGAAATTACAAAAATTTTGAGGATTAAAAATTGTTATGTAACAAAATAAAAAGTTGATTTTAATTATTAATTATTTAACTATTATTCATAAAAAAGAGTGTTATAAAAATGGATCACTGTTTGCAATATTGCGTAAATTATATTCGAAATTATTTATAAGATCTTTTAAATAATATAACAATTATTTGTCTAAATCCACGTAAAATTATGAAAATCATTATTTATTATTGATTACGGAAATAATCATATAAAGTAATTTATAAGATTTATATATATATATATATGTATATATGTGTGTATGTATATATATTGCTTTATTAACGTTTAAACAGAAAATACTGCAAAAGTACAATTTCAGACTGATTTTTAAAAAGTAACGAAAAGTTACCTTTCGAGTAAAGGTAACTGTAACGAGTTACTGTTAAAAAGCAATAACTAGTAACGGTAACTGGTTACTTTCGTTATTCAGTAACGAGTAACTGTAACTTATTACTTTTAAAAAGTAACTTTCCATTCCCACCCCCGATTTAAAATTATCATATGTATTAACCTTTATATAACCTCCCCCCTCTCTTTCTTTCACTCTGATATTGATTCTACACAAACTTTAGATAAATATTGCAAAGAATGTTACTACATCGACTCGCCATCACAGATCTATCGATATTCGCAAATTCTCGTAAGTGAGACACACGTATATCTCTTTATATAGAATCTCGATTTAATAACTTACCAAGGCGTATAAGGTAGACCTCCACTACAATGCCTTACTGATGAAGCCAGTAGTGGAAGCCGGAACGAAACGCCAAAAATTACGTGATGTTCTTCGCAATATATTAGAATAAATTATCAGAGTAATTTATATTTTTAATTGTAATTTGACTCTTACTTCGACCTGTTTAACGTATTGATTATTGCTACATAATTAACCTATTAATAATACGATAACTCCCAGTAAAATTATTTATAAAAAAGCCAATAGTATACGAAATATTTTATACTTAATCTTAGGATATTTTAACAGGAAACAAATAAAATGTAACAATTATAAAGGCTAAATGAACATCATAGTCAGATTAATAGAAGTAGCTACCGAGCAAAACTCAGTGATCACGGAACACAGATTAGAATATAATCATGATTTTAATTGGGAAGAAATAGAAATGTTGGATAAAGAAAAAGTTTTCAATAGACGATTGGTCTCAAAAGTCATTTTTATCAAAAAAACAGAGTAACGATTTAAATATACAAAGCGACACCGATTTGTTAAATCCCTTATATCATGACATCAATTATATATAACATAAATGCCTCTTACACACTTTACACTGTTATATTTTTATCTTATTTTGTTTTCATTTTTATTTTGACTTTATTTATTATTCTCGATTATTTTTGTCCTCTAACTTACATATGAATTCTCTGGATAGATTGTTCTTGTTTCTAACTGCTAAGGATCGTCAAATTATTCTTAAGTAAGTCTTTAATTTAGTATATTTTGATAAGTTTAAAGAATTAGTTTTGAGCTATTGCATATATTTCAATTTTTTTATAATGACTTCCTTCATAGTTTAAGTATCCAACTAGATACGACAGACGGAAAGAACAATTTTAATTAACAATGACTTCATTTTTTGACAAATTATTTTATTCTAACATGACTTTCATTAATTCATACAATTTCTGTTTTCGCAATTTACACTTAAAGAGAACATAATTTAATGTCGAAATGCCTGTATTTTTATTTCGATTAAACAATATAATATTTATACATAAAAAACAACTTATGACCACTCACATAGGCTAATAATTTTTCCTTTATACGTTTTTAATAAGAAATATAAAGTATCACATAAAATATTTATTTTTTAATTACTAAATCTAAATGCTTTAATCCACAGAAGTTATATAATATAAGTTATATAATATAAAGAAGGATCTACATTGTTCTGCGATATGCTATTACATATTTAAAAAAAACTACTAATTTTTTTATTGAGAGAGAGAGAGAGAGAGAGATTTATTTCATTATTCTATACACAAAAATATTAAAATACATTTACTAGAAAACCAAAATAATGATTTAGAAAATACTTTATATTTAATTTTAAAATATATACGTTAAAATAAAATATAAAATACTTCCAAAATGAAGGTAACATCTTATCACATAATGGTAATTAATAATAAAATCTTGATTTTTATAATTTTTCAAATTTGTGTTGACAAGAAAGTTATTACCTTTAATTTCTTAAAAACTCAACATAGTTAACATATTGATTGAAAAGTTGTTTTTACATATTGCTGTGTGTAAAGGTACCATGATGGGTATCAAGGTGGAAAGGAATATAATAGATTTATGGACGAAAACAACTAAAAGGTATGTAATTTTAATTCGTTTCAATTTGTATATGGAGAGATACATTTCGTAATCCTTTCAGTTCAAATTTCAAAATGCTACTCACATCAGTCAATTAATGCTAACAATAACAAAACATTAACATTATGATTTCATTATCAACAATATAAATGTTATATTAGGGCTGAACATATTCCATTTGTAATTTAATAAGAACTAGAATTGTATATTTTAACTATACACATAAAAGTATTTTGAGTTTTGTACTTCAAACATTGAGATTGTGAACATTTATCATTTCATATATTTTAATAGATTTAGTCCAGCCCTGAATAAAATATACGTTGTAAGTTACATTGTTGAGTGTAAAGCTATTAATACTGATGTTATGTTATTTCGTAATATAGGTTAGCAAGTAACGCGTTTACATTGAGCATGTAGGTTGTTAATTGACTTGTGGCGTTGTTAGCCGTTACAATTTTCTTCTTTTAAACAATGTTACATTTCTTTATGAATATAACGTTAACGCAATAACGCAGTTACATTGACTATGGTGAGAGAGAAACAGATATAGTGGAAATTAGAAAGAGGCGAAAGATCAATAATAATGAAATAGGATTTTGGAAGTAATTCTATATTGCTAGGCATATTAAAATGTTTAACAATTCTTAAATACATTCTTAAAACGTATATCAATTCTTTTTTCGATTACATGACAATCTCATCATCTCATGAGATTGCTTTTTCGCATATTTCAAACATTTTTCTTATAATAGAAGATTCATAATCCGAAATTTTACATGAAGTTATATTATATTTTGAAGTTACTCTGTACATTTCCTAAGTAGATGTATTGTTATGTAATCAAAAAAAGAATAGTTTGAATAATATTTATAAAAGTTAATAATCACGATACGCTATAGTATATTAAATATCGCATATACTATTAATGTTATATATAATAGTGTAATATGTCATTATTATATTATATTATATTACATTATATAATAATTATGGCAATATATTATAAATTTATTTTAATAACATTTTTCAGTATAAGAGATATTTGGCGATATAGATTTCGAAACATATACATAATTCCTGATATTATATTTAATCTCACATCTTTGGGAAAGAAACAGCGAGAATGTATAAATATCAGTCATTCAATCGTAGAAAAGGTATAAATATTTAATAATATTCATATAATTACACTTTCTTTATGTTTAAATCTTTATTATTGCATAGATGATACAGCAAAGAACAAATGAATTAAGTACAATGTCCACTAATGGTGATATATCTCGTAAGTTTGTCAATATTTTATAATTCTTTTGCTCTTTATTTCTAGAATGATATATAATACTTTTTTAAAATTACTTTAAGAATATAACGTTTTGAAAATTATAATTAAAAAAGACTAATATGCTGTTCTAGCGACAATTCTTCGATAAATTTGATCTTCGCATATGTCGTCAATGATACTGAGTGATCTCCAACAAAATTTTACACGTCGCTCGTTATTTGTTAAAAAGTTATTAAAAAAATATTTGAAAAATGATATTTCTCTTTTACCAAATATATAACATAGCGAAATTTTCCGATTCAAAATATATTTTTAGACTTTCTACACAAAACAAGTTTCACTCTACTTTTCCTTCTGCTAAGCTAGAGATATATAACTTTTTACTCCAGAAGATTTGCTTCGCATTCGTTGGAAAGATCAAGGTCATTGGAAAATTCTTCCCTCATCGGGGTATTTATCCTTCTAACAAGCAGTAAATTCAATCAAACATAACAAATAAAGATGCAACGTTAGTAAAGCGCAAATATATAATAGTAAAAATTTTTTCTTCTTTTAATGAATGATAATGGCGCCAATCATTGGTTTAGATTTGAATAAATTTCAAGTCGTTCTCAGCTAATTATTAGAAGAAACGTGAAAATCCATCTTTCCCTTCATCAGAATTAAGACATTAAACAGCTCGGTATAAGCATATTAGAATTTCACGAGCTACTAAAATAAGCAATTAGGGCAATATTCGAGGAACTCGTTATATCAGTTCTATTTGTGTCATCTATTCTTATTCTACGTCTAATAAACGATGAAGGTAAAATGACGGAAATTTATTATAAGGAGATTTATTATAAGCATTAATAGTGTCTCTTCGAATGCACTCTAGAGCTGTTATTCCAACGGCAGAAATTTCGTAATGTAAATTTCAACAATATAAGTGTTAGACACTCAAACGACTATCTTTATTAACAGTTCATCGGTATTTAGTACTACTGAATATCAATTCATTGTAGAATTAGAGTTATCTTCGCTTTTTATTAACTGTGCTGTATTCCCATTTACATTTGAACAAATTTATAAATTTATATTAATATTTAAATTAATATTAACATTTAATTTATATTAACATATAACATTTAAAAAAAAGATCACTATAAGATTTATAATTCTAAGATTAAACATTTAAAGTAAAATATACATAAAGTTGATTATTTATACATATATACATAAGTAATGAACTAATACACATATTGTTTTCTGTACATAACATAGATAAACGGTTCGTGGACA